GGTAGGCAACCTTGGCTCTTTTATGACTCGTGGACTTCAACTCCCAGAATTCCTGAGCCAGCATGGCTGGCTCAGGAATTCTGGGAGTTGAAGTCCACGAGTCATAAAAGAGCCAAGGTTGCCTACCCCTGCGGTCTAGTCATTCTCTTCATTAGCTTAAACATAAGGTGACCAATCATCCTCCTTTAGGGAGGACAGTCCTTCTTTTGTAAGTTCTGTCCTCTCTTGAAAAGTGTCCTCCTACATGTCCTCCTTTTCGATATTTGAAGACTAATCTGTAAATCTCCGTATTCGATCGATGCCGATCCGATCCGTTGCGTGTGATGTGACATATTTGTATTTGACATGACGATTTGTGAAGGCTCGGTACAAGTGCGGCGAGATGCATGCGCTCCGCGCAGATTTGTTTTGAGAGAGTGCACCGCGCGCAAGAGTGCGATGCATGCAAGTGGCTTTGTTTACTTCTTACCGAAACACAACATGGCACACACGCACGCATTAGACTCACTTCTTTCTCAGTGAATATTCAGTCATACACAGGTGAGCACAATAATTCATGTTTTATTAATTCATTATCTATTTAATAATTTCCAAATATGTATAATTTTATTTACAAGTTTATTCGCTTATGTTATTGTTTTAGTTTTAATAATTAATTTTATTTATTCATATTTTTTTTTCTTCAATTTATTTGTGTCCTCCTTCTAATTGTAAAAAAGTTGGTCACCTTATTAAACAATTCCCATAATTGGGGCTGGGGTGTGCGTGTGAGGGAAGCGCGAAATGAGGGGAACCTGGTGCAAATACTTGACAAAGCGAGAGCGAGCCGAGCTGTCGCTGCTGCTGCTGCTGCTTCTTCCACCCGGAGCGAAGAGCCCCGCGCGCTCGTTCCTCTCTTCGAATTCGCGCCTGGGTGGGCGGAGCCCGCCGGAGGGGCGGGGTCAGGAGGCGGAAGAGCGCGCGGGGGCGCTTTACGACAGGCCCTCCCTCGGCTTACGGCAGGGCTTCTGAGGGGAAGGCGTGAGGGGCGCTTCAGCCTCTCCGAGGGCGGGAGGGCCGCGGCTGGTTTCCCGCCTTTTGCTCTTCTCCCCGGGCGTGTGTGAAGGAGCGCGGCAGGCATGGTGAGTGCGTGGGAACGGTGGCTTGACCGTCCTCCCTCACCGGCGGTGGATGGGACGGCCTTCCCCTACCTGGCGCTCCCCCGCACTGGGAACCCCGGGCGTGGTGGTGCCAGCCGGGGAATCCTGGGGATTGTAGTCCCAGCACGCCTGGACGGGCGCCGGATGCTGAGGAAGGCGCAACACCGAAATAAGCCACCTTGTCAAGAGGGGTTTGCTTTGCCTGGGGGGGGGGGGGGGGGGAGGGAGGGAGGGTCGGGGAACCCTGACCCCCCCCCATTTGTCAATAGCCACCCTCCCCCTCCAAAGCCCAGGAGACTTGCTTCAGCCTCCTTAGGCCATCGCTGTGAGGTTCTCCTTATAGCAGAACCTAAATGGAGCTAAAAAGAGGAATTTATAATAATAATAATAATAATAATAATAATAATAATAATAATAATAATAATAATAATAATAATAAAGTTGGAAGGGACCTTGGAGGTCATCTAGTCCAACCCCCTGCTCAGGCAGGAAACCCTATACCAGGGATAGGCAACCTTGGCTCTTTCATGACTCGTGGACTTCAACTCCCAGAATTCCTGAGCCAGCTGTGCTGGCTCAGGAATTCTGGGAGTTGAAGTCCACGAATCATAAAAGAGCCAAGGTTGCCTACCCCTGCCCTATACCATTTCGGACAAATGGCTGTCCAGTCTCTTCTTAAAAACTTCCAGTGTTGGTGCATTCACCGCTTTTGGAGAATTTGAGAATCATCTGGGGGCGGGGGGGAAGGTGCCCTCTCCCTGAAGATGTTCAGTGCTGTTTAACTACTATTGCCCATGATTTTGAATATGGATGAATATCCTGGCCTGCCTGCTATCACTGATCAGTTATCACTGATTCCTGACTCACTGAGGACAATGGTTACATTTTTATCCTGCCTTTTATACATTGTTTTGGTCAACTCCACACAGTGAACATACTTAAGACTCTTTCCTCCTCCTATTTTCCCTACAACCACCACTACCTGTGAAATGGGTTGGGCTGAGAGAGAGAGCAATTGACTCAAAGTATCACCCAGCTGGCTTTCATTGGCTTAAGGTGGGACTAGAACTCGCAATCTCCTGGTGATTGGCCCAAAGTCACCCAGCTGGCTTTCATTAGGTAAATCACCCAGCTGGCTTTCATTAGATGTTGAGACTCTAGAACAGTGTTTCTCAACCTTGACAATTTTAAGGCATGTGGACTTCAACTCCCAGAATTCCACAGCCAGCAATGCTGGCTGTGGAATTCTGGGAGTTGAAGTCCACATGCCTTCAAATTGTCAAGGTTGAGAAACACTGCTCTAGAAAGAGTACAGAGCAACAAAGATGATTAGGGGACTGGAGGGTAAAGCATATAAGGAACGGCTGCTGGAACTGGGTATGTCTAGTTTAACGAAGAGAAGGACGAGGGGGGACATGATAGCAGTCTTCCAATATCTNTATTATTATTATTATTATTATTATTATTATTATTATTATTATAAGGTGGAACTAGAACTCACAGTCTCCTGGTGATTGGCCCAAAGTCACCCAGCTGGCTTTCATTAGGTAAGGTGGGACTAGAACTCACAGTCTCCTGATGATTGGCCCAAAGTCACCCAGCTGGCTTTCTTAGCTAAGGTGGGACTAGAATTCATGGTCTCCTTGTGATTGACCCAATGTTAGCTAGCCGGCTTTCATGCCTAAGGGAGATCTAAAGTTCATAAGTACCTGCAGGACCATTTTTTTCCTACTAAATCACCCATTCAGGCTGCCTGGAAGAAGCATTTGGATACGTTCCTTTTCTATGAAGTAAGGTACATAGAGTTCAGCATTGTTGGACCATCTTCCCTTAAACATAAGGTTTGTTCTGTCCATTCCAATGTTACAGAATGAAATAGATTAGTATTGCTCAGCCAATATTATTACTGAATAATACTGTGGCTAAAAAGCAATCACTGGTAGAACCTGAAGTGTAGAACTTATTAATTGCTAAAATTAAGCCATCTCCAACAGCTGGTAAATTTAAACGTCGCTATAGCTACCTTTAGTTTTCTTGGCCATAGTATAAGAATGGCTCGTCATTGCATTTATTTATTTTAAAGTTTTTACTGTCCATCAAAAGACTCGGGCAACTTAAAAGTTAAAGAGAAGTTTAATATCCATCCACTACTTCTCCCTCAATCTCTTTAAGGTTTCCACAGCAACTGCAGTTGTGTTAATCAGTAACATTCTCCTATCTCACCTTCAGATGTATGCTTGGTAATACAGGGTTTTCTATTGGCTTTATAGACCACAATCTTAAAAGGTTTTTTTCCCCCTTGGATTTCTGCATATCCTTTAGGAATGTTTCTTTCAACTTCCCAGTCTATTTCATACCCTTGGTTTTTCTTGGGGTGGACTTCAAAATAAGAATACCATATCTGGGCTGCAAAATCTGGTTGCTTCAGGGAATAAAGAGAGTTTTCTATATTTCTTTGCTGTCATTTAATCTGATGACTGTCTGAACTTTGTAGCCATAACTGAAGCACTAACCAGGTTAAACCTTAACTAATTTTTCAGCACCTAGTCAAGGTCAGCTAGGTGCTGCCATCTGCTGGGCTATTAACTAAAACTTAGTTAATTCACAGTTACTCTGTCAAAGGTTCTCAGTCATCCAGATTGAGTTGTCGAAGTTGTGTCATGGCAACTGGACTACTTGTTGGTTCAAACTATTTCATTTCTTATACAAGTAGCTTCTTTAGTCTGGGCAAGTTGGTCAGGGGACCAAATATATGTCCTCCAAAGAGGTTTCATTTATCATCTAACCTGGATAAGCTCATTAGGTGAGTAGGCAGAGAGTCGTTAGGGTAAAGCAGGGGTAGGCAACCTTGGCTCTTTATGACTCGTGGACTTCAACTCCCAGAATTCCTGAGCCAGCATGGCTCAGCTTGGAAACTCTCCCTTTTCCCTCAGCATGGCTGGCTCAGGAATTCTGGGAGTTGAAGTCCACAACTCATAAAAGAGCCAAGGTTGCCTACCCCTGCTTTACCCTAACGACTCTCTGCCTACTCACCTAATGAGCTTATCCAGGTTAGATGATAAATGAAACCTCCCCGGAAGGACATATATAAGATCCCCCTAACCAATTTGCTCAGACTGAAAAAGCTACCTGGATAAGCAGTGAAATGTTTCAAACCAATAAGAAGTTCAGTTGCCATGACTCAACTTCCAGATCACGGTTGCTGTGTGTACGTGTGCAAGATTTGGGAGACTGGTAGTGTGAGAACGTATTAAAAGTGCCTGTTGAAAATATAGTGCATAATGTGTTTGGTTTCCAATCCCAAGTTTAGTCCCTATGTCCTGTTTGTGAATACCTGGATATCACAGAGTTCTTGGAGAGTCTAGGCAAAGGTGGCATAATTTGAATGAGTACAATGTGCTGCACATGTAAGTGATAGTTTTGAAAACTATTTAGAACCTTCCATACATAATGTATCCAATTTTCCTCTAATTGTAGCTCGGATGATATTGTAACAGTGGTCATATCACATGCATCGGAGTGCTACTGTGATGCCAGGCAGAATTAAAAGTGCTGGCATTAATTTATAGCTTTATACTTGTTGTTGTTGTTGTTGTTGTTGTTGTTGTTGTTGTTCTTCTTCTTCTTCTTCTTCTTCTTCTTCTTCTTCTTCTTCTTCTTCTTCTTCTTCTGCCATATCCGTTATTAGACGTTGATGATCATGTTGGCAATCCTGTTTTTATCAGCAGCCACATGAAAAAGTGCTGCTGAGTTTTGTCCAAACCAGTCCCTTAGATTTTGAAGCCATGTAATTCACTTGGATCCATGATATTTCAAGGATTCTCTACAGATTGTGCTTTTATTCATCTTTGCAAGAGACACTTGCCAATACACTGTATAAATCTATAAGGTTAGCAGGTGAGGGCACACAGTCCATCATTCAAGATAAGATGGCTAGCACCATCTCTGGCAGCATTTTAAAAGGGCATTAAAATACATTTTTTCTCTTTGTCTTTCATTTTTAAAATGCTATATTTGCTGCTGATAAATATTTGAACTTGCATTTTACTTAAAATGATTATTTTAAAATTATTTAAATGTCAGAGTTCTTTATAATTGAATATTGAATTTTACTATTTTATATTTTTAAATATTTTGGAGAAACTATGCTCTTGAAAAAGTGGGTACAATATAGTAAACAAAATTCAGGTGTATCATATGCTAGATACAAATAGAGCTGCAGTATTCTCAAGGTATTAGCCAAAATCTTTTAAGAGTAAAATTCAAAGCCCCAAACTGATTGCATTTGCACAACTCCCAAAGTTATTCTATTTTACCCTCACTGAAAAGAACTAGACACTACATACATAAAATCTATTGAAATAATGGAACTTCATCCTACTAACTTTTAGATATAAATTATTTCCCATTTAGGACTTTTGAGTAGCTGCAGGAAAGCCATTTTCTGTTGTGCTATAATAATAATAATAATAATAATAATAATAATAATAATAATAATAATAATAATAATAATAATAATAATAATAAATTTAATTTATATGCCGCCCTTCTCCCGACGGGACTCAGGGCGGCGCACAACATATTTAAAACAAAACATAAATACATTCCCCCCCGATAAAACCGAATTAAATCAAATTTTAAAGTTGTATAATACTTGATAAAAACTACAATGATATAATCTTAGCAATGTTGCTTATCATTTCTGATATAATTTCAAATATAGGTTATTAACTCACATGAGTAATAAGCATTTCCCATGAGACTGCCTAAACATATAAATAACAACCACTTGTGGAACATTTATGGCTTAAAATTAATAACCTTGATTGCTCGCTGGTATTATTTTGGAAAAGATAAAAATCATTTTTATATATACAGTGAAAGAACTGTGGAGGGTATGTTCTTAAGTCTGAATACCTTAATTCATGAATTATTGATAGATACCTGAAATTTAATGAGTATATTTTCAAATATCAGTGACGAGAAATAAACAAAAATCTTCCTAGGAACAATATTTTGTTTGTTTTTTAAAATGCTATTGTATCCCGCTGGAATAAAAATAATTAAGATTTCTGAGAACTTTTAAGAGAGGAATTTCTTATACATATGCAGTTATTTCAATACAGGACAATTAAATTGATTGTCTAGCTCTCAGTTATGTTTGCACCCCAGATTTGCTCCAAAGGGTTGGTAGAAGAGACAAAGTAAAATCCCATTGGTGAAGTCATTCATTACAGTACCTATATAAGATTGAAAATTGACATAATACAAGTTTCTGAATCATAGAATAATTCTGTCAATCAGAAAGGAATGAACGAATGCAAAAATGTTTTGTGTCCTAGTTTTAAAAGAAAAGTATTCATGTTTTACTACCCATATAAATCTAGGTTTCATGATGTCTTCCCTAATGTCTCTGTCTGTCTGTCTGTCTGTCTGTCTGTCTCTCTCTCTCTCTCTCTCTCTCTCTCTCTCTCTCTCACACACACATACACACACACACACACCAACTGAAGACCTCTATAATGTTTAAGCAATCTCTGTCTCATATATTTGGTTACACTTTTATATATTCAGAAAATCCTTTTCACTGATAAGTGTTTAAGCATAATGTTCTGAAGATAATATTTTTTTCATTTTATGGTATTCCTTTTTTCCTTTCTTTTAGGCTGGTACTATGATAGTAGTTGGCCTGACAATAGCTGCTGCTGGTTATGCAGGTTTGTAGTCGGAAAGCTTGCTTTATTTCAGTTTGTGTTAAATATGTATCTTATAATGGATAGTAGTAATACAGTCTAGTGTTGGGAAGCATAGGTATCTACAGGGGTATTTTGGATGGTTTAATAAACAGAAAGACAGTGGTTCTTGTAGATGGCTTCAGTGGCACTATTTCTTGCTGAATATTGCTAATTATTTAATACATTTAATTTCATAACACATTTGTTATTGTGGTGCTTTTAAGTTTAACAGATCTCATAAATGTAGGTTCACATATTGCAGAAAACACTGATTTGCTAACCATAGTTTATTGACTGGCTCAACATTTGCTAAGTATGGTTCACATAGCCACACTACATTACGGCTTAATGTAATTTGTACATTGGCTCTGCATGACTTAATCTGTTTGAATTACATCTGTATTATAGGACATAAATCTGCATAGGGCTTGCACATGGAAATTTGGAGTTTGGACCAAAATGATTTTAAATATTGTTAACACCTTCACCAGGATGAGGGATATCAACTAAATGCTCTAGTCTAGGGAATCACTTAAATGACAGCAATTTATCAACATGGCAATAAATTGTCGAGCTTCAAAAGAGAGGATGGATTCTCAGTTCACTACCTGTGCTTATATCCTATATGAAAACTCTCTCAGAATTTGTCATCACATCAGAGGAAGCTTTCCAGTCTTGTGGGGCAAAGTCATATTTGGAATGCTGATAAAGTACCACAAGACTTTTTGCAAAATGACCATTATGAAGGGGACAGTCCATTTATAAAATGTCTACTATGAAAGCTATGGACAGTCACAAAACTTGATAAAACTAAAAGCATTAATGACACTCGTGAAACTTCACTCATCCCACTGACTTTAGTCTTTTTCAAGACCATTTGTTAAACTGATGTTCCCTCACCCTGCACACTTCCCTGGGTTAGGAGTTTCTCTAAGTCTATCGTAGATATGTTATCCTCTCATTAACAATGCCACCGCTGTCTTTGTATCAGTAAATTACTCAAAACGTGATTTTCTGAAAGGAATACTATAGTTAAAGACCATCTGCCTTGCTCTTTCGTTTCTACTGTCCAAATATAACACACAAATGATGCTTTAAGAGATGTGCTGTTTAGTATCCTTGTGCTTAATTTAGAATTCTTATTGTTGACTTTGTGAAATTCTTAAAATAGATTGCCTTTTTTAAAAATTGCTGTAGTAAATTCTAAATCCTTTAGAGTAGAATTTGAATTGTGCCAAGCGGAGGGAAAAATAATTGAGTGTGGTGAATGCAGCCCTTCCTGGGATGTAGTAACCTGAGTGCTGTGTGTGTGAAAAATAAATTAAAACCTTTCAGTGGGGTAGGAAGTACTGGACCTCTGTTTACACTCTCTTCAGCCTATTGCAATAGTAGGAAGCTTCTGTGGAAGCATTACATTTTGTCCTGGGATGGTCTAGTTGCGTCTACAAGTTCTGCAGATCTCACTCTAAATAGCTGAAGTGGAATCCTTTCTTTTCCTTTCCTTCCAGGTCGCTATGCGCTGCAAGCATTGAAGCAAATGGAACCACAAGTAAAGCAAACTCTGCAATCTCTGCCAAAAACTGTGAGTTTTGTTTTTTCTCAGTATTCTTTTGCAGCAACATCATTTTCTTCTTTGCTTACCATGGGACATTAGACAGAAACAGTTCAATACTTAGGATTACGAGATCCCAGATTTGCCCATTATAAGCCTTATGCTTATTGGTGTGCAAATGAATTGAAAATATTTGCTGAGTTTTACAGAAATATTTTTGTCTCGTGTTAGGAAAAAATGATTAGTTGGTGTGATGAACTAAGCCCAGTGGGAAGACATTAAAAGTAAGAAATTGTGTCGCCTCTTCTACTTCTTGGCAATGCTGTATGTAATTGGATGATGTATTTTGTTCTATTTGCCACAATTAGGTGATGGGCGTCTTTAATTTCTTATTCGTAGCATTGCATAATGCTTTTGTAATAACAATGTATTTTATTTTCAGGCCTTCAGTGGCTATTACAGAGGTGGATTCGAAAGCAAAATGAACAAGCGGGAAGCTGCCTTAATATTAGGAGTGAGGTAAAATTAAAATTAAAAATCACGGCATGATTTTTGTAGCTATGATTTGAACATAAAAAGCTTTTGGTATAGGCTGTAACTCTCTGATCAGAACATAACAGCCAATTTTACGTTCATTATTGTTAATGACAGGGTCTCCAAGATAGTAATTGGAGATAGGGTGGATGCCAGGTTTTCAGATCCCTCTAGAATAGCACTAGCAATAGCACTTATATATAGCACTTAAAGCCGTGGTGGGGCAGTGGTTAGAATGCAGTATTGCATGCTAACTCTGCTGACTGTCAGTAGTTTGTTCCTGACTGGCTCAAGGTTGACTCAACCGTCCATCCTTCTGAGGACTGGTAAAATGAGGACCCAGATGGTTGGGGGCAATATGCTGACTCTGTAAACCGCTTAGAGAGAGCTGTGAAGCACTATGAAGCAGTATGTAAGTCTAAGTGTTATTGCTATATACCACTTCATAGTGTTTTACAGCACACTCTAAGCAGTTTACGGAGTCAGCATATTGCCCCCAACCATCTGGGTCCTCATTTTACCGACCTCCGAAGGATGGAGGGTTGAATCAAGTTCGATCCTTGAGCTGGTCAGGATTGAACTCCTAGCAGTGGGCAGTTAGCCTGCAATACTGCATTTTAACCACTACACCATTATGGCTCCCTAAAAGTTTGAATGCTATTTTCTCAGGCAAACAGATTTGTCATATTTGTAAATCACCCAGCCAATTAAGCAAAGAAGTTCAATAACTGGGTGATATAATGAGGGATCTGATTTTTTTTTACTATCCTAATAAGACAAACAATGGGGGAGGGGAGGGAATACTTCTGTGTGTAATTGCAGAACAATCAGAATAAGCCATTTGTGTTTCTTGCTAGATTATCACAAAAAAATAAGATTATGTAGCTTGGAAATATCTCTTAAGCATACTGTAAATTTCAGAATATCCTTCCTCCTCCTAATAGTCATTTTGTGAAATGAGGTAGTGAAGTGAAATAGGTGCAATAATCTGGTGTTTTTAATAATAATCTGTCTGATTTTGAATACTTTTCCTAGTTATAAATTATCTAATTAAAAAAAAACTGTTAGTCCTACAGCTAACAAAGCAAAAATCAGAGAAGCTCATAGAAGAATCATGCTTTTGAATCATCCTGATAAAGGTAAATCAGAAGATGTTAACATATTATATGGCTGTCTGTGGGGTTGCATGGAAAAAAAATTAAGAATTGAATTTAGGCATTTTCAGTTCTGTTTTCCCAATTTTGTTATTTGAAAGTTGTGCATGCACACAGGGAAAAACTAAAATTTTCTGATAAGCATGGCAAGCTATTGTTTCATTACCACTTCTAATGTAGTTAAAGGTTTTTGTATGTGGACCATTTTATTATTGAAATGACTAAAATGTTTTATTATTTTGAATATTCAGTTCACTGATGACATATATTTCATTTGCCAGAACAATGGCATAATTTCTGTATTGTGAACATGACAACAATATTTTCCTCTTTACCAGGTGGGTCTCCTTACGTTGCAGCCAAAATTAATGAAGCTAAGGATTTACTGGACAGTCAAGCTAAGAAATGAAAACTCATCATTGATTTAACAATTAGAATATATTTTCAAAATAACCCAAAGAAAATTGACAAATGAAGCTGTCATAACACGCCAAAAGGATATTGTTTTGATGTAAGGCATATCCTTCTCTGTGGTTATTTTCAGAAATTAATGTCAACCACAACTTCTGATGCACTTCTGATGAAGTGCAAGTTTGTACAGAACCAGTTAATCAGATAGTAATATCTGAAATTCACAGTTATCGTTTTAGATTAAAAAAAATTAGCAGGATAAATGTGAACGTGAAGATTCTGCTGAAAACATCTTTTGAGGCTTAATAATATTTTGCAGTAATTTATTTCTCAGCTGAGAACAGCTGTATTATTTTATCATAGAATTATGGTGCAGTATTCTTCAAAAGTGATTTTTTATTACCATGATTGCTGAGCAATAAAATTCTTACAGTATTTCTTTATATGACTGCATAAGAAAGTGTTGTTATAGAACATAAGCTGGGCTATACTTTCCTGCTGGCCAAACAGCCATTCATGAATGAGAACCAAGTTGGTAGCCTCCCAACTTTCTAATAAGAGCTTTCAAAATAAGAATTTTCAATTCTTCATACCAAGAAAAACTTAAGATTTATTTCTGAATAATGGCTGCTGCCTTTGTAAATATTTGAAAAGGATCAAAACAAAAAGGGAAAAAACTAGGCTTGAAGCTGTCATGGATTTTAAGAATCCAAGTATTAAGTATTGTGAATAATGTTGTTCCTGATGTATACTAGAATATTTTCCCCCTTTAAATGAGGGGGGGAAACGGTTCTATTGGGCTTTTTAATTGATTTTCTGGCTTCTAAAATGCTGTTCTTTGATTTAAGGCTTCTGTAGCTCACAAAACATGTTGCTCAACCTACTCTGGAAGCTGTATGCTTTTTTCAAACTTTTTTTTTATCTTGGAGGTTGCCTGTTACCCAGATCAACTTGAGTTGTGTGATCCACCATTGAATGTAATTAGAGCAGGAAGCTCTATAGGACAGATCTTGGAATTCTGCGTTTGAGTGAGTAGTGCGGGGAATTTTTATGCGGGACTCTAGTAGGGAAGGCTATGAAGTACTTGGAGGTGGCAGATTCATCTAGAGATGATTATATTATTATATTCCACTTTTTAGGGAGAATTCAAGACGCAGCATCAACAATCTTAAATATAAATACAGGAAAATATAGATTTTTTTCCCCCAAGGGGGTCTGGAGAAATTTAGGAAGCAAGGGAAACAGGGCATCTGAGCAATTTTGTCTTCTTCCTGGTACCATATTCCTGTAGTATGGATATGGTATTTGCCTACCTGTGGAAATATAGGAAGAATTACAACCACAGAAAATGTGAACAAACTATCTCCAGTAGTTCGGAAGAGTGAAAGAAGACAGAATAGTTCTATGAAAGAGCACTGAGAACAAGGAGAGAGATATGGCAAAGCATTAGGACAGTGTTTCTCAACCTTGACAATTTTAAGGCATGTGGACTTCAACTCCCAGAATTCCACAGCCAGCAATGCTGGCTGTGGAATTCTGGGAGTTGAAGTCCACATGCCTTAAAATTGTCAAGGTTGAGAAACACTGCATTAGGAGAATGGGAGAATATTACACATAAGATCAAGCGATAAAACACTAAACCAAGAGTTCCCCAATCTTTGCAGCCTGGCAGCCTGGCACAGGAGAGGGGCGGGCTGAGTGGTAGGTGCATAGCTCCATTTGTGCAAATTGTGCGCTCGCCCTCCACTCACACAAATGGAACTTCGCATGCAAGGGGAGGATGTTCGCACTCGTGGGTGAAGCTCCACTCACACAAGTGGTGCGCATGAAGCTCCATTCACCTGAATGGAGCTTACTCTCTGCTCACGTCAGTGGAGCTTCACACACAAGCGGGCTTGTCTGCCACTTACGCAAGTGGAACCTCACACGCCTGCGCTTGCCCATTTCTCCCGTGGCCTAGTTTTGAACAAGCCATGTCTCGGGGGTTGGGGACTCCTGCACTAAACTATATACCAGTGATGGCGAACCTTTTTGAGACCAAGTGCCCCAAAACTGCCCCACACTGCCCTCGCTCCACCCCTGCCCCCACCCACCCACAGGGCCACCTCCACGGCCCATCACAGATCGTCCAGGTAGCCCAGCAGCGCCATGGCGGCCACGCCCTCCACCCATGCCCCACAGCATCATCTGTTTGTGACGGGGCGCAAGGGCGGAGTCTTGTCACCATTGCCCAGCTGCCATGTCCTTGGCTGCGCTGCTCCAGGCAGGCCATGCCTGGGGGTGACTCCTCCGGGGCTGCTGGTATGGAGGCGGCTGCGGGGGGAGGCAGGGCTGGGGCGACAGCACGTGTGCCCACAGAGAGGGCTCCGAGTGCCACCTCTGGCACTCGTGCCATAGGTTCGCCACCATTGCTATATACTGAATCTGGACTTCCTATATGCCATTCTTTACCCCACAGAAGATAATCCATTTCACGTGTGGAAGAAATTTAACCACATCTTTACTATAAAGGGATGGGGAGTAGTCTCATTCAGTGAAAATTTGATCAGATCTCTCCATCAAAGCAACTATTTTAATAGACTCGAAGCTGAGCTGAAGCTGATGAAGATTAGCTAAAATGACCTTTTTTTGCAGAGAACCTCCATAATTCTAAGATAGCAGAAATTTAATTGGGTGGCAATAGGTGGCAATTCAGAGTAGGCATCTTAATGGATCACTAGCGGACTGTGTTTATAGAAATATAATCTTTTTTTAAAAAAAAAAAGTGAGTGTGAATTTTAAAAATCCACTGTTATAAGCATTATTCACAGCTATTGGGAATGCTAAGCAACAAGTATGACCTAAAACAGGGGTGTCAAATGCCAGCCTGGGGGCCGGATGCATATAGCGAAACCATGCCCACCCCATTGCCGGCAATGACAAAAAAAGTCATGATACGGCGCGACACGTCATGTGACGTTGCAAGTGCAAGTTTGACACCCCTGACCTAAAAGCTAAGCTTTTATTAATCTATTGAGAGGCATGGTAAAAGAGATTCTCTGACTTAGTTCTAATGATGTCTCCTTGAAAAAAGAAATAAAAAAAGCAAAATGCATTCTTTGTGCTACATTAGTCTTGAGATAAAAAGTAGGGGGCTGGACTAGAAGACCTCCAAGGTCCCTTCCAGCTCAGATTCTAGTCTAGTCTAGTCTAGTCTGATATGTTATGAAATATCTAATTAGAATGCCAGGATTTTTAGGATCAAAAATTTAAATCAGGGAGAGAATCCAATTGGAAATTGAATTTTATCATTTTTTCCCTAAATTGTCCTATTACTGCTGTTTCTATGCAATAACCAGCAAAAGGAAAGACTCAGACCTGCAACTTAAATGAGAAACAATGTTGCCAGCTGCATAAACCTTTCAGAAAATGACATTAATATACTTTTCATTCAAAGGTAATGCCTCCATGAGAACTTATTTCCAACCCTTGTATAACAAATTAATAACTAGCAAATGTTTAAGGATCAACCAATGGAAGATCAAGGTTTATTTTTCTACCAGCATACAAAAACATATTGCACATCAAACAACCAAAAATAAAAATACTCTAAGGACTAACATATGTAGTTTATACAGAATAAACTTTCTGGAAATTGATCTTTTCAGTAGTTCTGGTTATCTTAATGGACATGACTAATTCAGAATTAAGTGTTTTAACTAAAGCTATGTTTGATTTTTAAATACTGTACAGTTTAATAAATAAATCAAACAAAGCCTCAATGTAGAACAGTCACTGCCAATGTCACCCAATATCCCTGCAGATTTGAGAATTTAATAAATGTATTCCAGTGGTCTGCAGCTTTCCCCACTACATACAGCATTTAAAAAACATGTATTAAAACAGACCAGTTTCCAGACTAAACTAATGGAGAAATTACAATTCAGTGCAAAATATTTTAGACTGCATTTTTTTCTAGTTTCCCTCAGGTGAAGAAGTGGTTGCATATTATTAAAAATGTAATAAAAGCAGCTAATGCTTTCATAAAGTAGGTTATGTTAGGGATCCCCCCCACATCTGCCATATTTTGAAAACAAAATAACGTTTCCTATAGCCAGCAATTTGTTTTTATTTAAATGTTACATATACTATTCTCAAGGCACATCTGATGATATTTATAACACAGTAGGTGTCAAAAGTATGTTCAACATTGGATTTTTTTTCAGGATCCCTCCCTGTTGTTTTCCAAAATGGAGGAACTGAAAGTGCGGTGTCAAGACTCGCAATCCATATTCTATCTTTGGCAAGCTTATACAAGCACTATTGTAAAATGTAATGTAAAAGAACTGTAAACTAGGAACTCTTGTTTATGAAACACCATTCAACACAGCTTCTTCCGGTTTATTCCCATCTTCTTGTATAGTACTAGGCTCTTCCTCAGGACTATGCTGCGGCTTGGAAGATTCCGTCTCAGAAACCACTGCCGGGCCATTTACTGCTTTTTCAGAAAGGCCAACCTCTTCAATCACTTCTTTCACCTTTTAAAGGGGGAAAAAAAAAAGACTTGGTGACGAGAGAACTGTGAATCATTAAACCATAATTAATATCCCCCCGCCCCAATTTCAGACAGTAAGAAAATCCACAGAAGGCATTAATTTTAGAAGGATGATTACATGAACATTTTATGTTATACCCAGTTATCTATAGTACCTATTTACTTAAATCATTCTTAAAATCCAGTTGAAAACACTTGTCCAGGGATAGGCAACCTTGGCTCTTTTATGACTCGTGGACTTCAACTCCCAGAATTCCTGAGCCAGCATGGCTCAGCTTGGAAACCTCTCCCTTTCCCCTCAGCATGGCTGGCTCAGGAATTCTGGGAGTTGAAGTCCACGAGTCATAAAAGAGCCAAGGTGGCCTACCTCTGCACTTGTCAAATGAACAAGGTAGGTAATTATTTCCAAACACAAGCTGCATTCTTGCCTTAGGCTGCCATTCTTAGAAAGCTGGAAAATGTGATTAGGGCAAGGTATTCTTAACAGGAGTTGTCTCAATTTGCTAATACATTTCTAACATAAACGAGTTTTCCTACTTTTATATTGCCCTGCAAACCGGCAGACCTTTTTCAGTACCTACAGGTAGATATGGTAATTTAATTCTGGAAGTAATTTCACAGATGGATATGTGAAATTATGTAAAGGCAAAAGTTTCCCTATCCAGTTGTGTCCGATTCTAGGGGGTGGCGCCCATCTCTGTTTGTTAGCCAAAGGAGCCAGCATTCTCCAAAGATCTTTCCGTGGCCAGCGTGATGACATACCCCAGTGCAGGCTGTACGGCAAAAACACGGAACGCTGTTGCCTTCCCACCAAAGTGGGGCCTATTTATCTACCAGGTCGCTCTGTCATGTGGCACTTGGGTCTCGAACCCAGGCTGTCAGTTTTCCAGCTGGCCACCTCAGCTTC